TTTTTTAAGAAAAATTCTTTTCTATCGCGATTTTATTTTTCTAATTATGTTTTCAACGGCATAAAGATCCGCAGTCTAATCGTGAATACAATTTATAAATGTTTAACAAGGAAGGATATCGAACTCGGAAATTTAAAGTATTACGATACGTTACGCGTAAGTAGAGTAAGTCAAGCCTAATGCGTTACAACTCTTTTTCGTGGCAAATTTCACTTTGAAAGGTTGAAACCACCCCTTAAAGAAAGTACAAATGTTTTTTCCCATAGATTATTTTGACAACGGTAAGAGTTTCACTTTCACGTGTATAAAATTATAAAATGAAATTATTCAAAAAGGGTCGGTGATCGGGGATATTTTGAAAAATTTCATTTTACAATTTTATACACGTGAAGGAACAATGTATTTTTTGTTTGAACTTTTTTTGCTATCTCTTAACGTTCTCAAGATAATCCACGTTCTTAAGATAAAATACACAACGAACGAAAATTACAATGCATTAAGCTTGACTTATTTACTACTTCCGAAATGGCATTGAAAAGTATCTTACAACGTAAAATGAGAAACGATATTGCTTATGGTATGACCTAACGTATACGAGAACGTAGAATTGAGAAAAGTAATAGATAATATAGAGTGCCTGCAAGAATTGAAACTAGCAGTACCTTTAAAACGGTAAAAAGATTGATAAAACGGTCATTCAACAAAATTAAACGGTTCAATAGCGTAACGTGTTCACGAAATAATTCTATGCATTTCATGCACTGCTGCATCAAGGAGATGCAATTACATACAACTTTCATTCTTAGGTAGAACTCCACTGTTAACGTAGAAAATACTTCGATCTTTTACTTTTCCAATTATAGAAATAATTATTCCACTTGGATCGATTATTCAATTACTCCTTATTCGAGATTTCACAATAAAATTTCGAAATTTTATATATTTGTATCACATAAATTCGAGAAATGCGATAAGATACAAAATTAAATTCGAAATTGGTTGTACGAATTTACATTAAGAAGATTTTGAGATTACCCTTCGTTGCCTATTTTTCATGAATCCTTATTTTCTTGGTAATTGTTTATATCGAAACAGAAGTCTAAACGTGTATCGCTAATTTATAAATTGCAGTTGCATTAAGGGTTCGGATTGTTTATTACTTTATGGGAAAAACCATAACCCGAAATAGCGTACACTTATAAATAAGTACGGAATATTGAGCGTGTCATTTCCGAACCACCACGTTATAGAGGGTGGCCCATATCTCGTTAATTTATAGCGTATTATTTATGAAACCTATACATAACGAATGCATCTATGCAAGTAAGCGCTGTTATTTATGCGGTAAATCCAGTTTGACCATTCAGGCAAGAGTGGCGAAGAAATCGGTCACTTCCGATAAGTAGGGAACTATAGTATTTACCGCGCACGGTTAACGGAGGCAGAAATTTCAGATTTCAATGTTCTTATAACAGAAGCTGTCTCTCGTAAATTTTCATTCTGCGGCTTAAATGCAATTTTTATCTCAAACGTGGTTCCTTTATAAATTTTTATTTCCCAGCTCCATTTAATTACCTACTTTTTAAACAGAATACGGTATTCCATGCACTTCAATTGTACCGTTCAATTTAATAACGTAACTTTCATCGTAAGTTTCGTTTATAAATTTTCATTTTTACAGTGCGACATGATACTGCAACTTTCGTACTGGGTACATTTCTGTCGTAAAATGTTAATTATTAAATTCAATGTAATGCAGTGAATCTCCGTTATCAATTCTCGGAAACTGTAAACGACATTTAAAATTAAATACACGTAATTCACTGAAAAATTCCTTACTGACTAACCATTCGTAATTGCTCATAGTTCAATTAATAATTCGAAATACTGAACTTTCCATTAATTTCCAGAATATCCTAATTTGGTCTAGTCTGCTATCTTGAACTCCTAAATTTAATCATCCAAGTTTACTAATGCTAGCTAATTTAATCGACTGCATTAATATGAATTAACGTCATAAATGAATGAAACCGAATTAATTAACATCTAAAAAAAAATTAACTTCTATCTACAAAAGTGCCGAGTCACCTAACAAATAAATTGTAAACAATGATTTACACGACGGGCAAGGAGAATAACAAATTCTTCTTCATAATTCGTCCGCTATCGAAAAGGTTTGAAATATCGGAGTACCTCGAATGCCACTATCAGTTGCAGTGTTTACGAAACTCCAAGGCGGATCTACAGCAAAAAGCAAGTTCATTAAGACCTTTGTAACTCCAATCTATACGATATACCAGTCTGACGTCACCACACGTTCACGGAATTTCCTTTCTTTCGCCATGAGTCAAGCAAATCGTAACTTCGTGGTTCCCCGACTAGATAGGTCACAGCGGTGAACCGAACCTCAAGAAAACTAAATTGTCTGTGCTCCGTTCACGTGATGTGACGTATGTAATCACCGCTATATATACAGGGTGATCCCCGCAACATTGACAAGTCGTTTACACACTCTTCAGAAGCAAGAAAATCAAAAAACATTAGAATTCGTACTTTGCAAGTATTTAAATTAAAAAGGTGCAGTAATCTTGATGATAATCGAGACGTAACCTTGTACCTAATTTATGTAACAAAATCTTGAATTTGGAAAAAAAGGTAAAGGAGCTTATTTGCACACCTGATAGATTGTCCAGAGCCTTCGTTAAATTGAAACTCGATAACTTGAATCGTCAGACTGTGCCTAGGAATATATACGATTAAATTTTACATAGTTTGAAGAATTTCTTCATAAGCAATCTTCTTGACAGTTGCTCAATTAAATCCAACAATCTAAAGGCTTATACTCATGAAGGTTCTACAGTGCCCAATATTTCCATTTGAAGATAGAATGCAGTTATTAAAGAACATTAATGGTTCTGTTGTTAGATACAGTCTCCGATGTGTTTGTCCTAACATTTACGGATCACCATGTATATCTCCGTGCGTCATTTACTAATCGTATACAAGGCCTAACGGAGGCCGTGTAATTTTTCGAACTGAACCATTCGCTTATCACGGTTACGAGCATTTGAAAGACTGGTCCGATGCGAGCGATAGGAATAACACCGATTGCTTCTGTAACTATACAGGGTGGCCTCGTTTTCATCTCGCCAAGAACACGTCTAAGAAACCGCGTACAACGTTCGCAATGAAGTTATAAGTTGCTGAGTAAAAAGTATCAGGTTGATGCATACGAAATATAATCTGTTATACAGTTTCAATGTCGATTATCGCAGTAACTTCTTCCAAAAAGGTTTTTCCAAATTGTTCGTAATAATTATTTCTTGCCGGAAACTCGTGTAATTTTCGTCTGTGTTCAAACTTGGAAATAACGCTGTAAAAATCGCTTAAAATATAAACAAAGCATTCGGGGATAATACTGTTAATGAAAAGACAGAGCAACTTTAATTTTATAAAATTTCAAAATAGAATTTTTTCATTCGATCAGTTTCCAAAAATATCCAATACGAAAATTTTCTATTTGAAATCGGTCAAACGCAGGTGTACTCAACGAACCTTCGAACCGAATGTCCTCGAAAACGAAGTTTCAAACGAAAAATTTCCACCGAACATTCCTGACTTATTTCTTCATGTAGAATAATTTCTTGTCGAACGAGCAAAGCGCAGATGTATTCCACAAATTTTCAATGCCAATTTTCTGCAATGAAAGACATCAAACGAACAAATTCTGCTGAATATTTTCGGCTTTCGTTTTCATATAAAATCTCTTTTTCCTTATCTTTTTATGTTATCACGTAGAATATTTTTTCCTTAGTTTTCACGTATTATTGTAGATCGTATAATACGAAATTTCACGAAAGAAAGAACGACAACAACAGCGTAAACATTTATGAGAAGGAAACACCCTACATTTCGTATTACTCGACCTAATAGAAACGAATAAATCTTATTTTATATCTTCGATTTTTGTTCTCATGTAGATTCGTTCTCTTATCAATGATTATTTATGCCCTGTATATTTAGCTCCGGGATCGGTATAATCTAATTGAAAATTTAAAACACGCACAGTTATACAATTTACGATGTACAGATACCGAGTCTGGATGGGCCGTCTACTCGCTGGGGCAGGGTTGATATAAAAGAGTTTCAGTCACAGGTAATCTTCCTAAAACTCGGTCGTTAAGCAGATCTATAAAATTCAATGTAGTGTGAAACCGTGTGAGTTGAAACTATAGTTTGAACCAGGCCGAGGCCGGGATCGGTCGGAATTGTAAGCGAGAATACGCTGAAAAAGGCAGAAATTTAGGGGATGAAACATCCCTTGAATTAAATTAGATTCTCGGTATTCGTGTCCATCGCTCTTTATGATCGCATTCTCGTCACGATCGGCGAGACTGCATAGCGGAAATGATCCATTTCAATTGGAAATGGAACCGGTAAGTATTTTACAAATTATATTATTATTATATACATGTATTATAAACTGCAAATGATATTAACTTATATCTCCTTATAGTATATAAAAAAAATATATATAGGAAGAAATAGGTCCCGCATTTAATAAAAATGTTAATGGGAAATCAATATCCGACATACAATTTTCATCATTTCATCCTGCAGTATACCGAAGCTTTATGGCACTTCATTTGATCGTGATTTACGAGCATAATTATTGCAACACGAGATAATGCATTTCGTCGAATGAGATATTTTATCCAACAACTTTGCGTTACGCTTCGCATTTAATTCGCAACTGTAGCATGATTGCAACAACATTTGTTTATTAAAATATGATCCAGTTTGATGTTCTGCAATTTAATTGCGAGCGTATTTAATGAAATAAAAAGTAAACGTGTAGAACTCGGGTTTGTATTTTATATTTCATATCCCCATTATTGACACGGCTAAAGCCAACCAACTTTCATCGCGAACAATTTTTATGTAACTATTGATCGTTTCAGTAAAATTTCAAATGAGACAGGAATGATCTGTAGGCTTACCCGTTGACGTTCGAAGAATGCGTAATTTAGTTGTCCCCTTACCTGCAAAAATAAAGAAACGCACAGTTTTAATTTAATGAAATATACTTCGTATTAATACTTTATAGTGACACTCTACATTACTTAATTCAGTGACAATAACGATAATCAACATAATTAATGGTAACAATTGTCTACTTTTGTATTCACTTTGTCGCAATTCGATATTATACATACTGAATAATATAGTATTTATAATAAATATCATACAATATAAGAGACCTCGTCGAAATCCTGACGGAGGAATCAAATTTTAAGAAAATAAACATAAATTTCTCAGTTTCTAAACATTCAATAATATCGCCAGCAAAGGTAGAAACAATTTGTATTACTATAAATATGTAAAATATTGCGTCACTCTTAAATTTGCATACCACGTACAATTTTCATAACAAGATTCCTGAAGCGATTAATATTCAATTAATCTTGATGAAGATAGTAAGCTATCGGTTTCTTTAAATAAATATCAGTGTTAATTTTGATAATAGAGGAAATGCAAGTAACAACACGTTCGCTAATCAATATTGCATAAAAATATCAAACAAACCGCATATTTCGTTCTCAATTTCACGACCCTGTTTGCGAATTAATATTGTTCTTTCACGATCTGTTTGAAGTTCCGCTCAGTACAAAATTAAGTTACTGTTTTTCAGTGTAATTCCGCGCCGTACGGAATGTAGGGTGTATGTATTATGTAAAATTATGGAATACGTTACGTCCAATGAGATCGATTTCTGAATTCTCCATGCGGAAACTAGAAAAGCGCAACGGCGAACTGGAATTGAATATTTCCATACTTCGAAATAACTCGATTTCGCTAGTTCCAAGTTATCGTGCATTCAATACCAAGAGGGAGACGATCGTAAATTATTTCGTAAATATCGAACATCTTTCCCGCCGCATGAACTAATTATCGCGGAATATTTGTTGCTTCATTAGCGGCATAACGTGTTTGTTATCATTAATTTCGACGGTCGGCACTGAATTATTAAAACGCTCTCGCAACCAAATTCAACGTATTTATGTCATCATAAATTCAATAGCACCGGTATTTTTAATTTTATAATACTATCATACAATATTTAAAACATTTCCGTGTGACAAATCTCATTATAAATTAAAATTAAATTAAATTAAATTAAATTAAATTAAATGAATTAAATTAGCAAACGTCTGTTAAGTAAGCTAAAGCAATTACATAAAGTAGAAATAAAATTCACTTCGAAGTCCAATATTGAATAACAAATTTTTATTTAATGTACAGTTTTCCAGTAATTGAAAAAAATTTCGGAAAATAAATATCTTCTTCTGTCAGTTACCATGAAAAACACTTCATTAGTAACAGAAAATAATTATATTAATAATTGGACGTCAATTAAAAATGTATTATCGAATGCGAAGCGTTATTGGGTTTAATTTAATAAAGTGCGTTAAATTTTTTGAAAGACACGATAAACAATCAAATTTCTTAATATATATATTGGCGAACAAATGTTATTTTTTCACGATTTGTGACTGAACATGTTTGGAAAGACTATTAGTAAATAAAATGCGAGAAAATATTCGAATTCTTTTTTATTCCTCAACTTGCATAATTTCGAACACCGCCGTAATTTGTCTTCCAAGAACATTACAAACATGGACACTTTCCGGCGGCTATCATCTTGACACGAAAGAATTGCTAAACTTTGTCTTCCTTCATTCATTCTGTATACTTACCATTTACAAGAAAAATACGAGCTAGCAACATCACGAATACTTTACGCAGTCGTCTAAAGTACAAAGGTACATGATCAAAGAGCTTCGTTATTTATTTAACGGAATCTCTCATACACCCGTCGGAAAATATTTCCTTCTTCCTCGGAAGAAGTTGCACCGTCGAGAAACATATTTCCTTATCTCGATTCCCGACCGAAAATTAATTTTCAAGCTGCAATGAACGTCTACCGATGCGAGTATGCAGATTCAGTTGCGCAAACAGTACAAAATGGATACCGCTTTTCATGCCGGCCATTCGAAGAAGTAGAATTCGCAACGACCATCAAGCTTGCCAACAGTTGAAATTGTCTCTCTATTGTATTTTACAATCTCGCAAGATCGAGGCAACAGGAAAAAAGGGGAGTCAAGGAAGCACAGCGCGACAGCGCTGAAACGATGCATCACCGGGAAATTGCGGAAATATGCATGGTAACGCCGGAGGGGTGGCGAGAAACTCGCGGATAAAATGAAAACACAAGAGGGAACGAATCGGAGGAGATTAATATGTTTTGAAATTCTCCCCGCGTAATTGCATCCTCCCCGGGGCCGAGCATAATTCGTGGAAATATCCGCCGGAAATAAAAGCATCTTCGAAGTCGGGGAAAAAGCGAGTCGGGTTTATAATTCGCGACGGTCAGCGGGGCTTTCTTAATTGCGCGACTCCGCGAGTCGTTCGCCGGGAGAATTCGCAAAAATAAACAGGTCCGCCGCTTCTCGACACGTGTTGGTCGTAAACGGAAGTAGCGACCACTGTTCGCGTCGGTGTTCCGCCGTCCTGAAATATTAGAAGAAACATTCCGGCGCTAATGAAATGTGCCGACAATTCCGTGAGTCCTTAGAGCCGTGAATAAGGACGCAGACTTTGTTTGTCGAACACTTCTAGAAATTTAGTCTGCGTCTTTCGCGATGAAATATTGTTCTTGCACGTTGTTTGATCGTCGAGTTATGAAATTCAAAGTTTTTTAACACGTTGCTCTATGATTTATCTCTTAACGCGTTAGGCGCCACGGAAATCTTGAGAGTTTTACGTAATGCTAATTCTTTAGAAAAGAGGAAAAGGAACGATTATATTATTAATTGCTTGACATCGTAATTCTTACGTCACACTGTTGCTAACTTACTTGCGTTTGTTAAACACTTTTATTCCAGATCAGTTACGTATTATAATTATTTTCTAGCAAGTTGGAAGCTTTTCTAGCAATCACATCGGTGACTGACATGTCGTTTAACGCGTTGACTATGATCGATACAACTACTTTATCGTTAATAATTTATTATGAAGAGAAGAAATTTTGATACTTATTTTATGTTTACGTTTACTCCAAAGACAATCCTTTCGCGAAACAACTCTTCAAAAATACAACACGAATCATTATATAATAAAGTTATTGTTCCCCAATCTGAATAAAAATTCACTTACATTTAATATTGTCTTTCGCGTATAAATACCAGTCTATCATTTACTCTGATCCGAAGAGTGGCCAATCATTTAACAACGACATGGTCTGGGTTAGTCGTTAGGGGTTGTTTACGATCCTCGTTAAAATTTTCATAGCGGCACTTTGAATGCAGTCTCGTCGTTACGATAAAATACTTGGATGGAAATCAAGTTCGACGTATGAATAAGCATGAAACAAGACGAAACTACTGTAAGACGTGTACGAAGTAAAAAGGCAGGCTCTATGAAGGCTAGGTGATTACAGAATGATGAATGATAGACCGCGGTACTTGCCATTCTGGAATAATTAATACGACGAAAAGGTGTTTCCGCGAAAGATGAATGAGTCTCGGAGTTTTCCGTCATTTATTATGCGTGACTGGCGTTCCCATCGCGGGAATGAGTCGCCACCGAAATAAAGACAACCGGTATATATACGAGAACAACGATCGCGACGACGCGCCGTTGTACGTATCAACGATTCCGCGCGGAACGGAGGACATAACTCGATGTTATTAGGTATCGCGGAATAAAGCTGTTATTTTTATTTTCGTAACACAGTTGACGAAGCCCGTACTAATCAACTTAAAATGAATTTCATCGATTGCCTCGTGGAAAACGATTCATTAAATTTGTACGACGTTCGCGGAGCGGAAAAATCGTTTATGATATTGTTTTCGTTCCCGCGACTGATCAAATTTTGGTTGAATAAAGCTTGTTAGCGTTCACTAGTATCACCAGCAATGCTTCGGACCTCGTTTATACAAAAATACAGATTTCGAACAACTGAGCTGTGGAATAGGCATTTTAGAAAGTACTTATCATTGAAGACGGAAGATTTTTAGTTATAATTTGGAATTATACGTGGGCTCCCTGTTTTGGGAATTGTTATGAAATATTCTCTTGCTTTAAGTTGTTACTCGAAGAAATAAAAACAGAAACTATTCTATAATTTTGGAAGAGACATACAATAAATGATCAATGTTGGGCATAATTAAAAACAAATGTTATTTGAATGAGAATAACGAATAAATAATTCATCGTTATTCGATTATTTTTTTACTCGATTTTTTACTCGTCGTTTTTCATTTATTATTTTGAATAACTCTCGATGCGAGTGCAATTATAAATAAATAAATCAAAGGGAGAAAAATCGCAGTGGAAACCGCCGGATGCCTCACGTGCGTCGCATAGCAGACTGCTAAGGAAAAAAACAGTCGGGGCGAAACGAGACAGAGGGAAACAGGTGAAACGGCCGCGAATGAATTTTCCCTGAGCATATTTTCCTCCGGCCTGAACTGTGAACGCCCTTTCAGTTTTACGATCTAGCGAATTTTTCATAGTTGAATATTACGTGACCGGCTTTTTTCCGTAAATTGCAAGAGATATTGCGGATCGTTGCAGAAGAAATTCATATACTCTTGTGCATTCATAAAAATGCCCCTTAGAAATATGGCGGACTGTAAGAGAATTGAAAATAAGGGACGAGCATTTAATATGGCAGGCTTAACTTTGCGCACGATACGGAATAGAATTTTTAGTGCACTTTTGTTCGAGACTGTGCAGCTGAAACGATCAATTTTATTCTGCGTATGTGTGTACCTAATTATCCTACATAATTTACATTATAATTACCTGGATGGAAAGGTCCAATAACATGTTAATTAATTTGTTCCTAATTATATCCTATCTTCATAAATGTCATAATTAATTGGAAAGAAACAGAATATGCAGGATGTTAATTAAAGGTACAAATTAAATTCTTAAATTATAATTGAGATTGAAACAAACTGATGTACTGGCAAAG